CATGCTTTACTCCGGTTCATTTACCTGTGATAGAATGATATGAAAGATACTTTACAATGGTACTCGATTTAGTAAGGTATCGGGTGCCCGTTGCCGCCCATCGGTTTGGGTCGTGACAAAAGTGGTATCAGAGCAGCTCTCTCCTAGGGAATTTACAAGAGTCTTGTTTATGGGTGTGTCGTGCACCACACTTATAAGTAGGAGGTTATAGGGCATCTAGGACTGTCACTCTTTCTTCTTACTCTAGATCGTGTCATAGAGCTCAATTGTAAGAACTCAATTTCCTAACTCTATCTTATTCATAATACGATGATGCCTACATCTAGAGAGATGGTTGGTAAGAGGTATAGCTGTGGAAGAGTTGAGTCAGAGGAACTCGATTTTTGCATCATGCTTATGGTGGATAAATTTGAGGTATTCAGCAGATCATGTGTGTACTAAGACATGTAAGTTTCTTGATAAGGATCCCTAAGGCAAGAATGTCTATCCACTCTTACAGTAAAAAGGAATAAGAGAATCGGAAGGTAGACACAAGTTTCAGCAAGTAGAAGGAGCAATGGGAGCTAAAAGCAAAGGAATGTCCTGCAAATTTTTCAAAATAATGTGTTAGAAAGAAATGTTAGCAGGAAATGAGGAGAGAGTTAATGAAGCGTTATGAGTAAGATGTGATGCATGGATGACAACGGTAGAAAAAAAATGACGAATTATAGGATATATAGTCAAGTGAAGGAATAAGAGAATCGGAAGGTAGACACAAGTTTCAGCAAGTAAAAGGAGCAAGGGGAGCTAAAAGCAAAGAAATGTCCTGTTGAAAATTTCAAAATAAAGTGTTAGAAAGAAATGTTAGCAGGATATGAGGAGAGAGTTAATGAAGCGTTATGAGTAAGATGTGATGCATGGATGACAAGTGTAGAAAAAAATGACGATATTATAGGATATATAGTCAAGTGAAGGAAAAGACGAGAGGAGCCAGGCCTTGAGACAACAAAAGAGTATAGGCCATACAGTTATATCCTCATTTCGAGAAATACGTTCGTGACTCCAACGCAACTACCGGAAGGAAAAGTTAGACCCTAGAATAATAAAAATCAGTATGGGCTAGTGAACAAGATAAATTAAACATGAATTAGGGGCTAAGTGATTTGATAATAGTCAGCATCATGAGAATTTCAGATTGCTTTCCAGCGATAACAGAATGGACCACAAAATAAGATTCATGATGAATTCAGAGAATGGTCATTCAGGAAGACACTTCCCTAAAAGTAAGCAATGTGAGCAAAGTTAAGCTTAAAGGACTGTAGGTGCCAGTTACACTAGGTGTTTCCCTCGTGAGTACGGAAATTTGTTATCCTTGGTACAAAAGGATTACCGCAAGGCGAGTGAGGGTTATCGATGATGTGAAAAGACGCCAAAGATGAAGAGGAAAAACATCAAGAGGCAGGTCGTGTATCTCCATAGTACTCCCCTAAAGGGGGAATATGGAATGGTGTGGCATTAAGTCAGAATTAAGGGGTTGTAGTAATTATTGAATGGTAAAGGAAGAATGCGATAAAAATGAAAAAGGGACGAGATTGCACTTATTCAAAGCCTACAGATATGCTAGGATACCAGAGTATTATGCAAACACGACGTCAAGGAGAGGAAATAAAGGTTCTTGCCTAAGATGTTATTGATTAATAAGGAGCCGGTGCGAGAGGTAAGTTAAGCCAAAGGAAATAACCCAAGAAAGATTTTGCGAAATATTGATACGAGAATGGGCCAACGAGTAGTTAGTAGTTGATTCAGGAAGGGCCTAGTTATGGCTAGATAAGAGGATATAGACAAATCAACAGATCAATGCAAGATAAATGTAGGGAACCCCAACATGGGGAATTCAGTCTTGCAGTTATCACATTGTAATAGTTGAGATATATTCATATAAGAGTTGGGGAAGTTAAAAAGGTATCGTATGAGTATTATGGAAATAAAAGAGAATGCCACTAGGAAGATAATCGAAATATTAGTTCGGAGGCAACCCTACAAGTACAAGGGCGTGGAGGTAAGTAACTAAGGATAATCATAGGTGAGTACGAACATCAAAAATTTTATTGAGTATACAATGTAATAAGCTCGCACCTTTACAAGAGTCAAAGGGGCTTCTCTAAGTACTACAACAAAAGACTAGATGAGGAAACAAGGAAGAAGGTTTCAACCTAAGCACAGTGCCCTAAAGAAGAAATGGTTGTGTAACAATAGTCTCACAACAAAATTGTATGCACTCTATAAGAAAGTGGCACCTACCGAGGCTAATGGACGGGATGTAAAAATCAGAAGTGCTATTTAAGATCACATGAGTTGTATGGAATTCTAATATGCATTGACACCAAGATAAGCTAAGTATGCACGCAAAAAGGGGGCAGAAAGACCAGGAAAAGTAATTGCTTACGTTTGATGAAAGCTGAGATGGAGCAAAAAGAAATATTCGATTCATGATTCAGAGTTAGTTACATTATGAATGCACTTAAGTGTTTGGAGTTTTATACATGCAGCATATACAGTCGTAGAAGATTCCGGTATTAGTTGAAAAAAAGAATTGAGCCCAGGTCATAGACAAAGGATTGAATTATTAAAGGATTGTATCATGGATATTCCTCAGCGCCCATGAAAGTCTAAACGTAACAACTAATACCATGAACCGCAGATCGGGAGGTAGCTTAAGCCTACATAAAGGCTGATTAGAAAAAGGAGGAAACTAAGAAGATACATCAACGAAGTAAATCAGGAATCTGATTATTGGACACAGAAAATTATAGAAATCATGATTGAGAACATTGCATGATCACTCTTAATATCAGAGGTACCAAAGGGATAGTACAACAACCATATTCTATAACGGCTCTACGATAAAGCCAGTTAAAAACATACCAGCCTCATAAGAATTTAGTATGGAGCTCCCACCATATTGTATAGGCACCAGACGTGCACGTATTATAATAGAGCTTCAAGTTATGGACGTGAATTATACCTATGTGGTAGAGAGATCATGAAAAAGATAAAAGATACGATGCGAGATTCTAAGGTAAGTAAGGAAAAGGTGAACAACGTACAAGATACTCAAGGGCAGAAGATCGTGAATAGTCCATGCTTCGGATAGAAGGCTAAAAGCACAAGGATTCAATATCCAGGAATGATAGCCACGTCGTCAATGGCATACCTTCTAGTCTATAGTTTCTAAGTACCGAGAGATCTAGTCAAGAGAGCAAAGAAGAGTTAGAAACGATGTAATGTCTCGCTTGATGTTCCTGAATAACATAAGGAAATCTATGGTGCAAGCAAGTTGAAGTAAGGTCGAACAAGTACAAATAGATATGCGTAGGTCGCAAGCTAAAGTATGGTAGAGCGACAAGGTTTTAGGAAAACAAGAGTAAGAATAAGAAAAGGTGAGTGAAAAGGTGACAAGAATGGATAAGTCCTTGGGATTAAGCTCATGAAAATAAGAGAGCTGATGGGTTCTCTAAGTTATATAAGGCTCGGTATAGCCAGAATGAACTCAAAGGAGTGCAAGACTAGTAGCATTTAGAAGAGATGGATTTCTACCCTGGTATTGGAATAAGGGCGTAATTGTGATAGATAAAGGATGACGTTTAGGCCTTCGATTGAGTAATGACTTGAAGAGGATTTCACGAATTGTACGGGATTAAAATACCCACGTAAGGTGAATCACATTGGGATAATATGAAATATGGTTATGGAAGAATGGTATCACCCCTAGGTGGATCAGTCTAATCATTTCAGATATTCCCCGATAAGATGCGTGCCCTAGAGGTGGTGTTACATAACAGATCAAGTTATCAGTGGCAGATGATGGATCAACCTTAAGCTGAATCAACAATGGATGGTAAAAGTTCAACAGTATGAGATGAGATTAGACCATCAGTCTTAAGGATAAGCAATAAGAGTAACATGGAGTTTGGTTGCAGACCTCAGTTACAATAAATAAAAGTAAGAATTATGGTATATTATGGCCTACTTAGATGTAGTAAGGCTAATGACGCCTAGAGGGACGGCTTGACATAATTTTGTATATGTTCACAAAGTGAGGCCAAGATATTGGTTAAGAACTGGAGGAAAGAGGAGAGAAGCGTCGCATAGGCGCACATACAAAGTTAGAGTCGTACAGGCTGCATGATAGAAGGTAGCAACAGTTACGAGATTAGAAGGATTCCGACTACAAGTCGTGGTGTGAGAAAGAGGCTTAAAGGGGGGAATGCCCTGGCCTTTGGATTTATTAAAAAAATATTTGTCTGAATGGAAAGGAGAATATTAGAGTATTCACAAGAGCTATGGGTTATGGAAATAATAAGTGCATCAGTCAACATTCGAGGCAAATGTTCCAAAGGGGGGAATGATGTTACACCCCATGTTTTCGTACGTGAAAGTGCGCCATAAATAAATTTATGGAAGCTCGAAAATGAGATGTTACATCCCGAATTTTTGTACGATAAAGTTCCATCATAAGTTAATCGACGTAAGTTCGAGAATGAGATTATTGTGAGATTATAAGTATTATGCTATTTCAAACAAGTGATGAGTAAATTCGTAAAGATGAGTGGGGAAGCAAGTCAAGGAAAATGAATTTTCGTCCATGTTTGACATGTTGGGATAAAATACGGCCCGAGATAAAATACTCGATATTTATGGACTAGTGCCATAAAAGGTACCACATGACCATGATAGTAAGCTGTATAAGGTATGTGAAAAGTGAGTAGTATTTTAAGTAAGTGAAAATAATTCTTAATTATGTGGGTAATTGATTAATTATTAGGTAATGGGACATTACCTAGTTAATTAATAATTAGTGGTGGATTAATTGGAGTCTTTGGATAAAGACTAAAGCAAAAGAAACGTGGCAGCCCCTTGAAACACAACAAGTGACTCATAATATTGGCATGAAAGGTGGCCATTTAGATGTTTGGGTGTCCATCACTACAAATTCAAAAAGGATACTACAAAATATTTATTTAGGCATAGACGGTAGGATTGGCAAGAAGGTATTCTTCAACAACCTTGAAAAGTTCCATGGCTTTATCTTTGCCTTCGTTGTGTTCTTCTTCCTTAATTACATAATCACCTTTTGTGTGGTACTCAGTTGATGTTTTGCAAATACAACCTCCATTTGAAGAAGTTTCGAATTTGACATCATAGGTAATGGATTCCAATTTGTCTCCTAGAATATCTCCTTCAATTAGTGAATATTTGGTTACCAAATTCTTGTCGTCAATCACATGAAGCTTGTGCTTCAAATACTTTATTGGACCATCTGTCATTTCACAAGCAAACTTACATTTATATTGGTCTCAGTGACAAAACTCGACCTATGTCCCTATCAATTGAGAGATTGGAGGATACGGATTTTTCCCTACCAAGATCCGCCGATTACGTGTTGTTGCAATTGACGTGTGTTAGAGGGATTGTCAAGAGAATCGGCTCGGTTATGTTAAGGCTATCCTTTCGATCTTTTTAGCATGATCCATACGATACAAACGAAACGAGGAAATGTACAACTTCCATAAATGACTCTATTCGTAGAAATGCTAGAGATGCCTATGTTCTTGATTCTCCATGTGTCCTATTATTTTATCATCTATTCATGGGTCTCAAAAAATACGTAAGTTGATAAATTTTACTTCTTGATATTAATCAAAGGTATAATGGTCTTATGACATTCTGAGAGATGTTATTGACATACATGCATTGCATTTATTTATACATGTACATTGACCCATGACCAGATGGCATTATATACGCCTATATATGTATATTATATGTATATGGGATATGGGAAAAGATTACGGCGTTATATACGCACCACCACCTGATCAACTGGTATACGTTGATGATTTGCCCACAGTGGCCGAGATGATATGATGGGATGCCCTCAGAGGCTTAATGATGTTATGAACACATGTACCTATGCAAGACATGACGTTCATACGCATATGCATGATACTATAAGTATTTCATGATTTATGGAGTTATCCAGCCTTAAAGGTTGAGTCATTTACTCTATATTTCTTTCATGTCTCTTATGTACTTATTTATGTGCCTTACATACTCGGTACATTATTCGTACTGACGTCCCTTTTTCTTGGGAACGGTGCGTTTCATGCCCGCAGGTCCCGATAGACAGGTCGAGAGCCCTCCAAGTAGGCTATCAGCTCAACGGAAGATGTTGGTGCGCTCCATTTGCTTCGGAGTTGCTTGTTTGATTAGTATGATTTAGACGTGTATTGTTTGGTATGGCGGGACTCTGTCCCGACCTTTATGAAAATTATATATTCTTAGAGGCTTATAGATAGATGTCATGTACGTAAAAGATTGTATGGCCTTGTCGGCCTATGTTCAGTACTCGAGTGATTATTTTGGTCTTATAGCCTGTACTTCATATGTATAAGTTTGTATTCCCTCAGGCTTTACTCCGGTTCATTTACCTATGATAGAATGATATGAAAGATACGTTACGATGGTACTCGATTGAGTAAGGTATCGGGTGCCCGTCGCGGCCCATCAGTTTGGGTTGTGACAGCAACGCCCTCAACCTATTTAGGCACAAAATCAACCACGACTAGAATGTAGGTGTTTCCACAAGAGCTCACAAAACGGGCCCATTAAATCAATACCCCACACATCGAAAATATCTATCTCTGAAATGGTGGTGATAGGCATTTCATTTTTCTTCGAGATTCCACTGGCCCTTTGACATTCATCACAACGCTTGACAAGCTCACTTGCATCCTTGTAGAGAGTGGGCCAATAGAAACCGCAACTTAAGACTTTGGCCACCGTTCTTGATCGACCATGGTGACCACCATAAGCCGAAGAGTGACAAGCCCCAAGAATATCTACTTGTTCCTCCTCCGGTACACATCTCCCAATCATGCCATACGTGCAAATCCGGAAAAGGTATGGCTCATCCCAATAGTAGTCTTGACAATCCCGTTTGAGCTTTTTCCTTTGGTTTGAAGAAAATTCAACCAGAATGATACCACTCACAAGATAATTTGCCAAATCCGCGAACCAGGGAATCTCCTTCATATAAATTGCCAAAAGTTGCTCATCTCGAAAGGAATCATTAATTTCGAGGCCATTATGCGACCTCCCCTCCTCCTCCAAATGAGACAAGTGGTCTGCTACTTGGTTTCACTCCCTTTCTGATCTTGATATCAATGTCAAACTCTTGCAACAATGGTACCCATCTCATCAAACAGGCTTAAGAATCTTTCTTTCTCATGAGATAGCGGAGTGCCGCATGATCCGTATGAACAATCACCTTTGCAACCATCAAGTACGGGCGAAATTTTTCCATTGCAAACACGATGGCAAGAAGCTCTTTCTCCGTAATGGTATAGGTGACTTGGGTGCCATTCATGGCCTTGCTTGCATAATAGATCGATGAAAGATTTTGTTGATGTGTTTCCCCAAAACGGCCCCCACCTTACATCACTCGCATCATACATAAGCTCAAAAGGAACACTCCAATTTGGAGCGGTAATGATGGGAGTAGTAGTCAACTTGAGCTTTAGAAACTCGAAGGCTCTCATGCAATTATCTTTGAAATGGAGCTTGGCATCTTTCTCCAAAATCTTGCACAACGGGTTTACCACTTTAGAGAAGTCCTTGATGAACCGCCGATAAAATCTCGCGTGGCCTAAGAAACTCCGCACGCCTTTGACTGAAGTTGGAGGTGGAAGTTTAGAAATCAACTCAATCTTTGCCTTGTCAACTTCAATACCATTCTTTGACATCGTATAGCCAAGGACAATGCCCTCCTCAATCATGAAATGACACTTCTCCTAATTGAGCACCAAATTTGTTTCTTCACATCTTGCCAACTCTTTTTTCCAAATTTTCTAGACAATCATCAAAAGAATCCCCGGCCAAAGAAAAATCATCCATGAAGACTTCAAGAAAATCCTCCACCATGTCCGTGAAGATATCCATCATACCCCTTTGAAAAGTTGTCGGTGCATTGCACAACCCAAGTGGCATCTGCGAGAATGCAAAAGTACCATAAGGATATGTGAAAGTACCATAAGGATATGCGAGAATAAGAATTTGATTGTAGCCAGAATACCCATCAAGGAAACAACAGAAAGCACAGACGGCCAATCTATCAAGCATTTGATCTAGGAAGGGAAGCGGGAAATGATCCTTCCTTGTGACTTTGTTGGGCTTGCGATATTCCATACACACTCTCCACCCGGTCACCATTCCTGTGGGAATCAACTCGTTCTTGTCATTGGTGACCACCGTCATGCCCCCTTTCTTTGGGACACATTGAACCGGAGAACTCCACGAACTATCCTAAATGGGGTACACAACCCCGGCATCCAACCACTTGATCACCTCCGTTTTGACAACCTCTTGCATGGCTTCATTGAGTCTCCTTTGATGTTGAATAGATTGTTTGGCACCTTCCTCCAAGTTGTTCTTGTGCATGCAAAATGCGGGGCTTATCCCCTGAATATCCGCCAAAGTCCATCCAATAGATTTCCTCTTTTGTAGCACCGCCAATGTGGAATCTACCTGCACGTTAGTCAAACAAGAGGAAAAAATAATCGGTAAAGTAGAAGAAGGGCCAAGAAATTCATACCGATGATGTGGAGGAAATGGCTTCAACTCCAAAATGGGAGGCTCCTCAATTGAAGTTTTGTTGGAGGAGTGCTTCTATTCTCAAGATCTAAGGACAATTTATGGGGCTCATAATTGTACGACCCCTTTTCTTGCAAAGCATTCACACATTCCACATAACGCTCCATTTCTTGCTCATCACAATAATTGAACAATACGGCCTCCAAAGTATAATCGACATTCGTCATGACACTTGTTTTATCAATAATCATATCGGTCACCAAATCCACAAACGAACAAGCTTCATTGCTATTCGGTTGCCTCATAGATTTACACACATGGAAAAACCACCTTTTCATCACCCACCCAGAAAGTGAGCTCACCGGCTTCCACATCAACAAGAGCCTTCCCCGTAGCAAGGAAAGGTCGACCCAAAATAATTGGCACCTCAGTCCACTTCACAATCAAGAATCACAAAGTCCGTCGGGAGGATGAACTTATCAACACGAACCAACACATCACCAATAATACCAAATGGTCTCGTCATTGTACAATCCGCCATTTGCAACCTCATAGATATGGGTCTTGGTTGCCCAATCCCCAAAGTTTTGAAAATACAGTAGGGCATCAAGTTGATACTTGCCCCAAGATCACATAAAGCTTTAGCGAAGTTGGCACTCCCAATGGTACAAGGGATAGTGAAAGAACCGGGATCTTCCAATTTAGGAGCCATTGAGTGCACAATTGCACTCACTTGATGAGTCATCTTTATAGTTTCACAATTCATCGACCTCTTCTTTGTCACCAAGTCCTTCATGAACTTTGCATAACCCGGCATTTTCTCCAAAACCTTAACCAATGGAACGTTGATAGATAGACTCTCATCATGTCAATGAACTTTTCGAATTGGTTCTCGCCATTTTTCTTGGCAAGCCTTTGAGGGTATGGAGGAGGAGGCCTTGGCGTTGGTGCCTTAGCAATTGGCACTACCGGTTTTGGTATGTCAATAATGTGTTCCCTAGACGGGTTCACTTCTTCATGAGTCTCCTCCACATTGTCATCAATATCAATTCTCACCTCATCATTTACTTGCACTTTATTTTTCGGGATCTCGACTTGTATTACCATTTGTTCATCATCCACAAGATTCTTTGACTTGAGGTGGTTGGATCCCCACCTTTTTTACTCCTTGTAGTAACGGCCATGGCATGTCCCGTGTTGTTCCCACCCTTTGGGTTCACCACCGTATCACTTGGTAGTGCCCTCTTAGGACGAGTGTTCAAAGCTTGCGAGATTTGCCCCAATTGAACTTCCAATTTCAAATTGAAGTGTTGTAAGAGGCTAGTTGAGCATCTGATTTGGCATTCTTCTCCATCATTTGTTTGAACATGTTTTCAATTCAGCCATCTCATTGTTGGAAGAAGTCGGACCTTGGGAAGGATAAAGGCGGTTGCTCGGTTGTTGATACATCGGGGTCCTTTGAAAACCCGACCCCCGATTGTCGTTGTTTTTCCACCCACCTTGGTTGTTGCCTCCCCAATAACCTTCATTATTGCCACTCCAATTGCCTTGCTTATTATGACCATTCCAAATTCATAGATTGTTTTGATTGTTCCAATTCCCTTGGTTGTTACCACCATTCCAATTACTTTGGTTGTTTGAATTCCAATTCCCTTGATTTCCTTGTGGTCGCCATTGTTGTTGATTCGAGCCTCGATTGTTGTTTCTTTGTCCTTGGAAGTTGTTCACATGTTGTACCTCTTCTTCTTGTTCATTGTACGACTCATCTTGATCAAATCCACTATCATCTTGCACATAATTTTCAACACGGTTTTGCACTTGAGGACCCTTTTTTCCTTCTCTTGTTTACCATCATACTAACTCCCTCCATGCATTGACTTGATTAGGACCTTGCATTTGTTGAAGTTGAGCTTTGTATATTTGATTCATTGTGGTGGTCAACTCGGCAATTGCTTGACCATGATCATGTAATTACTTATGCAAGTGAATCACATTTGGATCACCTTGAGGAACATTTGCTCTACTTTGCCATGCCGATGAAGTATCCACCATTACATCTAGAATCTTACAAGCTTTCGCATATGGCGTTGTCATGAAATTTCCACCGACAAGTTGGTTGACCATGCATTGATTGGTAGAATTGATCCCCCTATAGAAAGTTTGTTGGATCATAGCCACCGTCATGCCATTGTTCGGGAATTCTTTCACCAAAGTACGGTACCTCTCCCATGTCTCATGCAAAGGCTCATTGGTTTCTTGTTTGAAAGCTAGAATCTCATCCCTAAGAGTTGTCATATGCCCGGGAGAAAAGAACTTGGAAATGAATTTCTCAGCCAATTCATCCCATGTATGGATAGAATGATTTGGCAATCTCTTTAACCAATACAAAGCCTTCCCCGATACAGAGGAAGGGAATAGCCTCAATCTCAAAGCATCCTTGGAGACGTTTGTTTGTTTACTCCCCCAGCAAGTGTCAACAAACCCTTTCAAGTGCTTGTACGCATTTTGACTCGGAGCTATGTGAAGAATCCATGTTGCCTAGCAATGTAAGCATGACATTTGCAATTTGAAAGTTGCCCACCCTAATGCAAGGCGGGACTATGGTACTTCCGTATCCTTCATTCGGCAACACCCGCTGTGAAGCCGGTCTTTGTAGAGGAGGGGGTGTAACGGGAATATTGTCTTGAGGTGGTTGGCCTCGTCTATTTGCTTGAGGTTCAAGAGGAACCTCTTCAACTTGATCATCATCCACGTTCACATCCCCCATAGGCATGTTTCCAAGAGGATCATTATTGTTGAGAGCCATTTTTCACCTATAATTGTTTCACAAAAAAGATTAGTACCACGGAAGGAAAACAAGACAATTCACACACAAAACCAAATATATAGCTAAATCCGTTTTTAGCTCCTCGGCACCGGCGCCAAAAGTTGATCTCATCCAAGTCACACCCTCTATTTGAGGTAGTGAAACGGACGATGCAATAGTAATACCCAACTTCGAGTCGGGGTCGAATTCCACAGGGAACTATGAGATTAGGACTTAGGAGTATATATTACGGTATATAAGTTTGATTATCCTAAATTGTACTTCCACAAACTTGGTTGGTTTTATAGATAAATTAAACTAAGATTGCAACTAAGTAATTGAAACTAAGAAATGATGTTTTTGGTTGTTTTTCAAATGTTGTCAAAGGACTAGGGCTTTGACCATGACGTAGGTGTTCGCCTAATGGGATAAAGACTTTAATGTTGTTTTGTTAAACGGGGTGTATTATAGCTCACAACACTGCATTTCCCACTCAATACCTCTCGGTTAGAGAATGGTTTTGCCCAATTTGATTTTCTCAAATCTACCGAAACGGTTGATAAGAGCTCAAGTCGGGTTGTTACTATCTCTAGGTTGAACCCTTTAATTGGGTTGATCAATTTCTGAATTGACCCAATTCCTTGTTAGCTAGGTTGACCTAGACTAGGTCTCTCTTTCTCAAGAAGAGACTAAGTCAAAAAGGCATAAATCAATGTTTGCATCCATAAATTTACAAATAAAGCATAAAACTAGCTAAATAACAAACACTCATTCATAAACAAGCATAAATTAATCACTCATAAGGTTTACACACTAGGGTTGGATCACAACCCTAGCTAAGTATCTAGCTACTCATAATGGGTAATGAAGAAAATAGAGAAGAAATGGTAATTAAACTCATATTGAAAGACTAAAAGACAAAAATCTAATGTTTAATCACTAGAGTAAGCTAAAGTTTCCTAAAAGAGTAAGAAGAAATGGCTACACAAGTTCAGATATTCAAAAATTAAGCTAATTTCATAAAAGAAGTCTATTTATACAAAGTTGGAATTTTCAGACAAAAATGCCCTTTCGGAGGTTCTGATGCCGCACAATTCCATGTGCGGTCCGCACATCTTCTTCAGTCTTGGCTGGAGCTTGGTCTCCAGCCGCATAATTTTGGATTGTGGCCGCATGTCACTTGTTCTGCGGTCCGCACAAAACTGAGTGCGATCGCACAAGCCCTTTCAGCGGATCGCACAAATCTGAGTACGGCCATATAGCTGACTTCTGCGGCCGCACAATAATTGTGCGGTCCGCATATCCTTGAGGATTGAACTAGGACTTCTCTGAACTTTTAAATCTAGCATAGCTTCTGCAGCTGCACAATAATTGTGCGGTCCGCACATTGCTTTTGGGTTCTGTTGGATTTCCTTTGCATTCCGCGGCCGCAGAAGGAATTTTGTGGTATGCACATTAGCCTTTTGCCTGCTTTTTGTTCTTGAGTTCACTTTACTCCTTTTTGAGTTGGACTTCATCTTTGTGGCTCATTTTCCAATACCTTTGCATTTAAGCACATTTCATCAGTTTTCGGGAATACAATTAAGCACTTTTGGACTAAAACGAAAGTAAAAAGGCGCTATTAAATAGTCAAAATTCCAACTTATCAATGCCACAAAATCAAAGATCGAGGAGTTGGAGCAAGTTAAACTAGTCGAGCAACTACAAGATCGAAAGGTATACCTGGGAACGGGGTTAACCCCCGAGCTCAAGAAAAAACCTTATTCATTTCCTTAAATCTATCATTGACTATTTTTCTTGGTCCCATTTAGACATGATAGGGATCCCACTGGAGGTAACCACTCACAAGCTGATGGATCCCACCGGAGGTAACCACTCGACGCGTACTCTGGGTACAACCAAATTCGGATGGACCAGGACGATTAAGAAAATACTTCTTACATAACAAAATTTGGCACCTACTGCTATAACGTAATGTCGTTCGGATTAAAGAATGCTGGTGCGACATGCCAACGCCTAGTAAACCGGATGTTCGAAGAACAAATAGGGAAATCAATGGAAGTTTATATTGACGATATGTTGGTCAAGTCCCTGCAAGCAGAGGACCATTTGAAACGTTTGCAGGAAACCTTTGACATACTAGGAAGTACACATGAAGATAAACTCGTAAAATTGTGCATTTGGGGTCAGTTCAGGAAAATTCCTCGTGTTCATGGTATCTAATCGAGATAGAGATCAACCCTGACAAAATAAAGTCCATAGAAGACATCGCCGTATCGACAATATCAAGGCATTACAAATACTGACCGGGCGTACAGCCGCATTGGGCTGGTTCATCTTGAGGTCTTCGGATAGGAGCCATCGGTTCTTCTCACTAAAAAACAAGAGTAATTTTTCTTAGACCCCAGAATGCCAGCAATCTTTGGAGGAACTCAATTGATACCTGTCGAGCCCCCTTTTGCTGCACACTTCGAAGACAGATAAACAATTGTACCTCTACTTGGCGGTTTTCAAGGTGGCGGTAAATGGTGTCTTAGTCCGGGAAGAGAAAGATATACAATTCCCTGTTTATTATGTTAGTAGAACACTGGGCGATGCCGAAATGTGTTATCCTCACCTTGAAAAATTATCACTCGCCTTATTAAGTGCTTGTAGGAAACTGAAACTGTAGTTTCAATGCCACCCCATATGTTCCGTAACCTCTTACCCACTGAGGAATATCATGCGCAAGCCCGAGCTCTCAGGCCGGATGGCCAAATGGGTCGTGGATTTTAGCGGATACAATATCGAGTACCGACGCTGGATTGCCATAAAATCTTAGATTTTGCTAGACTTTATGGATGACTTTACACCGGCCTTGATACCTGAGGTCGAAAAGGAATTGATGCTCACCTTGGGGACTAACTCAAGGACTTGGACCCTATTCGTAGAAGATGCATCCAATGCGAAGGGGTCGGGGCTTGGTATCATACTAAAATCACCTGCGGGTAGCATTGCATTGGCTAACTTGGGGTCGTCTGTCGACTCCTATGAATTCAACTCGGGGACAGTGGTGCAGCCGATGAACTCAGTGGTAGAAGAAGGCCATGCCAAAGTAAACTCAACAAGTTTGAATAGGGATTGGAGAAACAAATACATAGACTACATGAAGACAGGAAAATTACCATCGGATCCCAAGGAATCGATAGCCTTGCATACCAAAGCTTCCAAATTTAGCTTAGTCGAAGGAGCATTGTTCAGAAGATCTTTCTTCGACCCACTGGCCAGATGCCTAGGTCCGAGAGAGACCGAATACGCTATGAGAGAAGTTTATGAGGGCACTTGCGGGAACCATTCGGGGACAAAACCTTTGGTTCGTAAACTAATCAGAGCCGACTACTTCTGGAATGAAATGGAGAAGAATGTGAGAGACTTCATGCAAAAATGCAACGAGTGCCAAAGACACGCCTCGATGATTCATCAACTGGAAGAGACGCTCCACCCGGTCCTGTCACTGTGGTCGTTTATAAAGTGGGGAATGATATCATCGGTCTCCTACCATGGGCACCCGGTAAGGTCCAATACATATTATTCATGACCGGCTATTTTTCCAAATGGGTCGAGGATCAGGCATTGGAGAAGGTCCGAGAGAAAGAATTCATCCACTTCATCTGGGATCACATAGTATGTCGATTTGGGATACCTACCGAGATTGTTCGTGACAACGGGAATCAGTTTGTCGACAGCAATGTAAGTTAGTTTTTCAAAGACTACAAGATCAAGAAGATATTATGAACAACCTACCACCCTAGTAGGAACGGGCAAGTGAAATTGACGAATAAAACTATACTCCAAAACCTAAATAAGATATTGAACAGTTTGAAAGGAAAATGAAAGGAAATCTTGCCCGATGTCCTATGGGCGTAGCGTAAGACTTCGAAATAGAGTATCGGGGAGACCTCGTTTTCCCTAGTCTACGGACCGGAAGCCTTAATACGAGTCAATGTAGGGGAACCGAGCCTCAGGTTCTAGTATGCTAACAAAGTGTCGAATGGCGAGGCTATGGCCACGAGCCTGGAATTATTAGATGAAAGGCGGGAAGCTGCCTTGGTCCGGTTGCCTACCCAAAAGCAACGAGTAGGGATGTTTTACAACTCAAGAGTCAACCTTTGACAATTTCAAGTCAGGAACTTAGTAATGAGAAAGGTAACACCACACACCAGGAACATAAACAAAGGGAAACTGGACCCGAATTGGGAAGGACCATATAGAGTCATCGGAATAACCAGCAAAGACTCGTATAAACTCGAATCGGGAAATGGTGTATAACATCCGAACAACTGGAATGTGGAACACTTAAAGTGGTACTACTGCTAAGGTACAAACTTAATTCCTTTTTTAATTTAGTTACATTACGGACTAACGTATACAAGTACTCGGCTAGGGGAGAATGTGACTATTAGGTCTGAAAGAACGTGTTGTACTATTTTTCCCTTGAACCGATTTAGTCCCGAAGAGAGTGTTTCAGCAAGGTTTTTAATGAGGCAACAATAATACATGATACCTTAGTTTTGAAGACCGGCCTTAAACTAGAATCATTGATTGCATGTACCAAGCCAACAGTATTCGAGCCCTCACAAGTGTGGCCTCAAATACTGGGGGCCATTACCCCTAGGTTAAGATCCTTATAAAGGGAAAACTTATATCTTAGAAGCCTTCGATTTGGTGATTAGGATTCGTTGTAAGGGCCAAACGGTAATATGAAACGTGCCCATTTAGCCCATCCTGCCACAGCACATAGCTTATACGCCTCAGATTTTGTACCTTACATAAAAAACAATGAAAGAAAACTTTCCTTCCCTCATACTTTATTATGACACGTTTCGCATTTCGCTTCGTCGATGCTTCGAAATGGATCCTAGAACCTAAAGCCTACCGACTACCCTGACTCGGGGACTGTCGTTTGACAAAAAATTTGTTGGCTCGGGTCATCGAATCCTAGAGGCACCTATCCCCCTAGG